TGGATCAGAGGTTTCCCTTGTTCATATGTCCACCGGGAAATACTTATCTACTAAAAAAGTCCCATTACCCGTACACGAACAATATGCGGTATTTGTTATCATTAATTTTTATAATTAGTTAATGTCACACCTTAATTTAAAACATATATGTTTATTTAAGGCCGTTTGTACTGGTCAAAACATCGACGCAAAAAACGATGCCTGGAAAATTCTTGGTGCATTTAACGTAAACGTAAAAAATGGAGGCCTTTTATCCTCAAGCACCGTTGTTAGACTTATGCATCAAGATACGGGTGGATACTTACATTCTCATGATGTAGTAGTCGGTGGAACCCCAAAATCAAATCATCAACAGGGTGTTTATTGCTTTAACCAACCTCTTTCTATAGAATTTATAACTAACGATCATTAATTTAACGCTTAGTGACCATTTGTATGGCTAAAAACATTGACGATGATTGGCTTCTTCATTGCTATAACTCCATCACCGATGATAACGACTCAGCTCATTTAATGAGCGGTGACATCATTAGTCTCTGTCATAAAAATACTAATCAACCGCTCTACAGCCATGAAGTTCTATTAGACGATGAAACTCAAGAAGTTTCTTGCCATGGAAATAGTGATGAGGAGAATATTAAGGCATAATATTTTAACAAAGTTAATATTTCATTATTTTTCTTATTAGACTTTTAATTGCAATTCTACCTTGCAGTGGCGTATCGAATTAATTAGGAAACCGATTAAATATGAATCAACTATTGCGTTATTTCACGTACCTTCTAGAAAATACTTATCTACTAAAAGGGTCAAATATCCAAAACATGGACAATATATGGTGAGTTGTTATTAAAACTTTTAACACCCTTTATCACTTACCTAACTATTAATTTAATTCACAAAGGTCGTTTGCACAGGCAAAGAATTAGATTTTGAACACGACCTTTGGACGATTTGTGATATGAATGTTGGAGTTCCTTCAACTTGTAGCATTATCGGATTTAAACATAAAGAAACAGGTGAAAAATTGCATTCCCATTTTACGGTACACGGAACAACCCCAAAATCAATCCATCAGCAAGGTATATTTTAAGCAAAACCATAACCATACTATAACGCAAATCTATTTTATATAACAGTTTGCATAATTACAACTGCTCCTTTAAATATTTTAGTGACTCTTTGGATGCATGGACATCCGGACGATTATTGGATTATTCGGCATCATGGTTCTAAAGTCGATCGAGACCATTTAATGGACGGTGATATTATTAATATTTTTCATCAAGGTACTAATCTACCACTCTATAGCCATGATGTTCTAATGGATGATGGAACTCAAGAGGTTTCTTGTAATGGAGACGGAAGTGAAGATAATAATATGGTATAAATTTTCAAATATTTTTTCGTTTATGCTTATATGATGCCGCTTGCTTATTACTTCTTTATAAAAATTGTATTTTAGTGGTGTATTGAATTGATCGAATAATGCAAGTTCTTTTAAGGCACATACTATAAGATCAATGCTTTATATCTTGAAATTATAGTTTTATTTATGAAAACTCCCTCCATTTATTGTACGCTAACTGAACAAAGCTCCACTGAACTAAGGTTATGTCTTCTCATGTTTTTCAATAAGATCTTTTATCGAAGGTACAACAAAAGACATATAGGATATTTGGTTCTATTACAAATAAAACACTTATGATATGCAATGTGCTGGTGGTTATGATAAAAGAAATTTATAATATTGAATAATACAACCCTTTGAACTTTTCTATAAGACAAAAGTATAGAATCAGACTTTAAGGCTAAAAAAATTAAAAATAATTAAAAATACTAAACTTATAATCTTGCTATAAATCAATGTCAACCATTTAAACCTAAGGTGTACGTTTATTCGAGATTAAATTCATAACGTAATACCAAGTAATCTTTTTAATCTTTAGGTAAATTATGATTAGAACTATTGTAAAATAATATAAGCCTACCAACTAATTCAATTTTTGGCTTAGTCATTATAAAGGAACAACGTAAATATCAGATTAATATTGTTTATAATAAATTTTATTTTTACCGGTAAAATAAATAAGCTGGCCCTTATTAATCCAATTATTGATTTTGGATGATTGCTTTCTTAATTGCTGAAGTTTCATTGTATAAGTTATACGCAAGCTATTATTCTTTTTTTCTATAAAAAAATCTCTCTTTTTACATTTAAACTAATAAAATATAAATGACCAAAAATAATATAGTACTTATTAATATAATAAAGAATATATGGTATATTCCCGGTGAAAAAATCGAACTGGTCATCATGTTAGGCACTATTTCTCACTGTAGAACATGGACAAAAATTTTATTAGTCTATGTTAGAAACAACACAGTTCTAATATGAAGAAATTGAATGATAAACTTGACTTTTGTCAAATCATATATTACAACAAAATGCATGCAAATAAAGTTGTAAAATTGATGTCTCGATTATTAAATGGATTAAAAGTTACCTTTAATGATTATCGGTCATTGAAAATAATGAATTTTGTATTTTTGTAACAATCCTAAATTCAACAAACCTATCTGGTGCTTCATTATAAAAATATGTGTGTGTTTTAAACTAATAAATATTATTTGATTTTTGCGAAAAAGTTATAGCAACTATTATTGATAAAACCTTAATATGGTCTCGAAGAAGCAAGGATACTGTTATAAAGTTTGAGGGTTTCTAATTGTTATATATTCATCTTAATGTATATCCTAAGAATTAAAATATATATATTCTGAAATGAAGAAAACTTCCTTTTTTCGTATCTGAAATTAAATTCATCAGCATTAAAATTTAACTTATTTGACGGCATCCATGACAATGAAATAAAGAAAAAATTGAATGTAAGTATTTCGTTATTAGCTTTTAAAAAACGATTGCTTTTTAACTCCATTAAAACCTATTTTTCAAATAGTAAAATTTCTTTAATATCGAGTTATCATATTTTGGAGATCATATGATTTTCTTATTATCAAGAACATAAGTGAAACTCAATATAAAATGATTTGCAAATAAGATGAATGTAAATTAATAAGTATTGGGGAAAACCTGAGTCTTTTTTTCATGAAATTGATTTGAGTAGTTAGATTATTTAAGTCAGAGATGAAAAAATTAAAGCATAAAAATATAATTTATACAACTTATATAACAACTTATGCAATTAAAGATACTAGATTTATAGTAAAATCGTCCAAGCCTTAATCTTGTAATTTTTTTTGTAACCATCTTAAGTGATCTTATAATATACATTATATTTATAAACCAAGTATTTGATAAATTTAATGATTGGTTGATTTATCTGCTGTTCTTAAGAACATACAACTGATGAACAAACAATGCAAAGCATTTTCATAAACCAAAAACATTATCTTACCATTGACATTTAATATTGTGTATAAAATAGAATTCTTTAGATTAATGCTGAAATTTTCTATAAAATAATTGTCCCAATTTGCATTACATTGTCGAATTCATAGATAATTAGTCTAATCAATTTCGAATGTTTTTGCGATTTGACCGAATAGAAGTTGCATTGGCTAATTAACCGAATATTATACTATAGTACTGTAGTGCGATCATGCCCAATACTTGAACAACTTTATCGTGAATGTTGCAATATTACCGATATAACTATGACTGCATTAGCAAATTATGTAATCTCCAGAAGCTCGATATTGAGGAATACGATAGAATTAGTTTCAATGCAATTATAACATTGCAAAATAAAAATCCTGCTCTTGATATTATCGGTTGATATTCGGATACGAATGATGAGTCAGATATGGATAATTTATCGAAATAATAAACATAGGATATATTTTTGATATAATAAAAAGTTACTTAGCTTGAATAAGATGAAAATCGAAAAGCTTGAACCGGTCGAGAGGTTTGCATATCATATCGACGAATACAAGAATCCAGAAAAATATAATTCAAAAAACTCTATATTCCTCAATAGCCCTTCACATGCTTAATCTGCGGTCGAACTAACTCAGGCAAAACTACTGAAGTTGTTAATCTTTTGCTTGGAAATAAACTCTTTCGGATGTTTAATGGGAAAAAGGAGGAAGCTGAGATATTAAGTGTGATGATGTTATACTTATTGGACACCATCTCAAGGAACCCAAATACGTATATGTACCTTAAATCGGCATATCAAATAATCGCAAATAGTCCAGAACCACACCGTGAAGATATTACATTTTGGGCTATGAAGCCTGATAAATTCCAAAGCTGGATTCATTTTCTCCAGAAAGAAGCACTGTAGCTATATTTGAGGATGTATTTACTGAATCGAAAAAAATCCAGGAGAAGATTATACCCTATTTTACTGAGGGGCGCCATTCCAATGTTTCTTCGATGTATGTTTCACAAAGCTATTTTGACTGCCCGAAACTAATAAGGAAAAACTTAAAATATGTTGTACTTTTAACGGCTCTTGTACCTCAGATGAGTTAAGCAGGATACTTCGTTTATATGTTAACGACTGGCGCAATGTATATAAAATTGTTAATAAGTTTCTATGTGAACAGAAATTTATCGTCTTCGATCTAAGTGTACCTCCTGAACATCCACACAGGGTAACCATTGGTTGGGATAAAATTTTGTTCAATTAGTCAACTTGATGAATAGAGCAAGATTTCAGAGACGCGAGGATTTTTTTTTCTGCTTTTTGTAATTCTATCTTCTTTTCTTCAACCTCACATCGTAACTTCTTATTTTCATTAACCCGCTTTTCATGCTCTATAGT